AAGCTTCCGGGTAATGCGGATACGCGCCCGGACTAACTCCAGATGCACCTGCCTCAGAACCTGCACACTATATGCAAAAGTGTAGCGTGAGTACATAAACAACATGTACCCAGTAAGTATCTAGTCTAACCTCGAAGAAGTAGTGACGAGGAGTCGACTTCGACACTTACTAGTGGGCAGCATACATAATGTACAAGATTATTTAATAGGCTTGAAAAACAACATCAATAATGGAATAAGAGGCAATAATTAAGTGACCATTTATCAAAATAACAATTAAAAGTCCCCAAATATCACTTAAAATCTCAACAAATAAGGGCTCGACATATAATTAAAAATCTCGTAGTCATGAAAGACATGTCAAGTGTAATCAGACTCTGAGTGACAACACGCACAAGTTATGCCGAGGTCGTATGGCCTGATCCATAATAAATGTGTACATACACTACCGAGGTTGTACGGCCCGATCCATGGATACATATATATATATATNGATTGCAAATTTCATATTTATAACTCCGAGGTAAGCCCGTGAAAGGATATAATCTCCATCGACAATTAAATATTTTGGCAACTTTCTAAGTAATGGGGCTCGATTTAACTTAATCTTCAACCAAGTTTTTACCTATTAATACGAGAAATTAAACTAGCAAGTTGAGTCCAAATAGTACAAGTAATAGCATAATAAAGGCCTATAACTACTCGGACATAATATGAATTTTAGCTACGCACGGGCTCTCGTCACTTAGTGTGTATGTAGCACCCACAATATTTAGCAAATAACAATTAAAATACCTATGGGGTTAATTCCCTCTTACAAGGTTAGGCAAGAGACTTACCTCGTTCCCAAGTCCACTTTTTGATCCACAAATCGCTCTAAAAGAATCAAGTCGGTGCCAAACAATCCGAAACTATCCAAAGGTTGTACAAACTAATCAATAATTGCTCAAAAGTTTATAATTTAACTATTAGAGTGATTACCCAACCCAATTTGGAAAGTTCCTAAAATTCACCGCTGGGCCTACATGCCTGGATTCCGAAAATGTTTGTAAATAAATGTTACCCATATGCTCATGAACACAAATATATAATTTTTACCCAATTTCATAATCATTTTTGTGGTCTAATCTCATTTTTTATCAAATCTAGGGTTTTCAACCAAAATCCTAATATTCCCACAATTTACATGTTAAAATCTGCCCATAATCTATGTATCTAACTTACATTGTATTGAAATTACTTACCTTCAATAGCTAGGTGAAAACCCCTCTCCGAGAAACTCTAAAATCGTCCCACAATTGAGAGAAATGAACAAAATAGCCAAAATCCCAACTTTAATAAAGTCTCTGCCCAGCTGCCCCTTCTTCGCGATCGCGAAAAGTGCTTCGCGATCGTGAAGGAAAAGCCTGCCTAGGCCCTGAAGCTCTTCTTCACGAACGCGACAGGGTCCTCGCGATCGCGAAGGCTAGGCCAGCCCAAGCATTGCGAACGCGAAGAGCAATGACCCACAGACCTCCTGGCCCCAAATCCTTTTACGCGAACGCGACCAAGCCATCGTGAACGCGAATGACACAGGTCTTGAAGCTTCGCGAACGCGACCCCATCTTCGCGAATGCGAAGAGCAAAAACACCCAGTCCCCAAATCCTTCATCATGAACGCGAGGGTCCTTTCTCATTCGCGAATAAAGAAACCAGAACCAGCACACCAATAGTTTTGGACTTAGATCCGGGCGGTCTGAAACGCACCCGAGCCCCCCGGGACCCTGTCAAAATACACCGACAAGTCCATAACCATAATACGGACCTACCCGAACCCTAAAAACACATAAAAACATTAAAACTACGAACCGCAACCCAAAATCAAATTGAATCAACTTATGAACTTCAACTTCTTAAATAGCTTCAAACGCGCAGAATTATACTTCGACTACTCGGAATGACACCAAATTTTGCGTACAATTCATAAATCACCATACGGAACTATTTCCAGGCTCAAAATCCCAAACAGACCTCGATAACACCAAAGTCTACTCTAAACAAAATTTAAAGAAATAGAAAACCTTCAATGAACCGATGGAACAATACGAACCTATTGGAACCATCAAATTCCGATTCCGAGGTCGTTTACTCAAAATGTTGACTCAAGTCAAACTTGGTCATCATAGGCCACTATTAAGGAACTAAGTGTTCCGATTTCAACCTGAACCCTTCCAAACCTAAACCAACTATCCCCGCAAGTCATAAAATATTAAAATTATATACGGGAAGTCGTAATTAGGGGAACGTGGATCTAGAAAATAAATGATCAGTCGGGTCGTTACATTTATACTCTAAGATTCACTCACAAAAGCTTACAATTTTCAGCTTACTATTAAGTGTTCAGCTACTATCTTTTACTCTCAAAGTTTTATGTTTTTCTTAGAGTGAATGATATGTCTAAGTGTGTGTGTGTATAGTGAGGAAAGAACCATCCCTTAAGTAGGCAAAGAAGGGCACTTTTTGGACAGATTTTGGTCCACAAAAAATCTGTCCAAAAAGGACTAATTGTGTGCAAACACTGTTCAAAGGGCTGTCCAAAAGGTGAAAGGACAGTTTGAAAATCTGTTGTAGTAGAGGCAAGGAGGAAAAAGTCATTTCAGCCACCCTACTAGCAAAAACGAAGGCTACTAGTACCTTATATCATGATTGATTTAATCTAAACTTCATCTTTAAACCAACACCAATCTACTTGCTCAAAACAAATAAAAAATAGAAATATGACCTAACTAGACTTAACAATTTGAACTATTAATCAACAAGAGAAGTCGGAACTTAACAAAATTAAAGCCAAGCTAAATGCTTATTAAATAGTGAAGCAATTAGAAAATTAACTAATCAAAGAAGAAATCAGAAATACTAAACATGAATTAGTCGGAACTTAAAACCAAACAAACTACAATCAAACTCAAAGGGAAAAACATAAACAAAATTGCTAGAAGCCTTCAATCTGATTTAGACAACTAATTATACTATTCGAAAATGACTTAAACAAACAAACAACTAAACCGACAAATAGTTATGCCGACATGCTGAAGCCTGAAAGTTTAGTTAATAAGTACGACTAATTAACCATGATTTAAAAATGATAATTAGAAGCTAAAAAGTTATAAACTTGAAACTAAAACTAATTTCAGAGCTAAGCCAAATGCATGTTAACAGTGGGGTAAAACTAATGAAACCGATTAAGTTAAGCAAAGACAAAAATCAAAAAATAGATTAAATACGACCTAGACAATTATTAACAGAATTTAAACTTAGAATACAACGAGAAAGAGATTAGGATTTATACCAACAAGGGAACAATGTTAACTCGAACAACAAGAACGGGTCGTGGATGCCGAGAAAAGGCAGTACGAGCAAGCTTCGATTGTTGATACTCATAGAAACCACGGAATCCGATGAATCAAAGTTTAGCTTTCATGGCATCAACAATACAACCTTGTTCGGAGCCGGTGCGGAGGTGAAAGTATGAGACAGTGGCGATTTCGGGTTGGAGATAAGAAAATAAGAGGAAGAGAGAAGGAGAAGAGTATAAACTTTAGAGAGTTGAGGCCACTGATCGGCGGTGGAGCAGCGGCGGCAGTTAGGTGGTCGGCGGTGGTGGACGGCTTTTGGGGGATGAAATGGGTAGAAAAGGATAGATCTCGAGGAGATCTATCCGTGTATGTATGTATTACGTGGTGTGGAAGGTTAGAACTCGCCGTATTTTAGGGTGGCGGCGGCTAGGGTTTTTCGAATTTAGATAGATTTGGTGAGATTGGGGGTGATTTCGGGGATTTGGGGTTGGGATAAGGGTAGAGGATAAGGAGAGGAGAAGATTGGTGTAATTGGGGGGTGTTTGGAGGTTAGCCGCCGCCGGTGGGCAATTTACGGCAGTGGAACAGGGCGGAGGGACGAGAGACAGTGAAGAGAGAAGGAGAAGAGAAGAGACTAGGGCAAAAATATGGTAATTGGGGTTTTAAATATTAGAAGGGAGATTGAATGGTGGCCTTTGGATCATGAGAAAATTGATAAGTGAGATTGAATCTTGAGGCTACTAAGCGAAACGACGTAGTTTAATGTCCTAACTATGTCGTTTAGTTCTGCTCTCAGATCACTTGGCTGGAGGGGTACTAGGCTCGATTTTGTAGGCTTTTGGCCCAATTCGGCTAAACAAAGCATCAACCCAATCCCTTAAACCCCTAACAAAACTATTTAATAATCTAATTCTAAAGTCTATAAACACACACAATAAACCTAGAAAAAAATATAATATAGGAGAAGTAGAAAGAGCAGAAATTAGATATTTACGCAAAGTAGCACATCTTTTTTGCTTTCTTGATTAAATTTATGTACCACAATTAGGATCTTGGGATATTTTCAGTACCGACAGTAGTTCCCCCCCCCCCCCCCNTGATTTTGCACCTTCTAACATCTCGATAACGTAACATACTTTTTTTGCTTCTTTTTTTTTAAGTACGACAATTGGGATCTCGTTCATTGAAAGAAAAAAAAACGAACGAGAAAAAAAATTAGAGTCTTATTGAAGAATTGAAGCTTATTTGCTTTGTTAAAAGAAGATGTCAATAAACTCCGGTGAATGGTTTCATGGGATTCAGCCTCCTTTTCCAAAAGCTATAAGTTTATTACCCCCACTAAGTTATAGGAACTTCTAATTATATAGCAGTAGAAGGTCTGTATATTTATCCAATTCATCCCATTTTTTCTCCTTAATAGTAGAGTACACTATAAAGAGAGTGAAGGGTGTTTGAACAAAATCTTCGCCTATTTCAGGACAATGAAAGCTAGCAATCAGTGAATCAAGGCTAGTTCCCAATAGCAAGTTGTGGAGTATTACTAAAATAATGGTGAATGACGAGCTTGTCTACCTAATGTTTTTTGGGGATTAGAAATTTTGGGGTATGGATGCATTTGGAACTTCTTGAAAACCTGTATAAAAGACAAGAAAGTGACCACAAGACTAGAGAACAAATTGTTCAATTTCCATCTTTTAATTTATTAAACCAGACACCACATAACATATTCACATTTAGAGTGTACAACACATTGTTCTCCCATTAACAAATCTAAACCTCAAAACAGATGCAAAACAAGAAAAGAAACACAGAAAAGCATAAATGTAAACTGACAGCCCATGTACCAACTTTCTGCCCTTGTCAATCTGCACACTGGAGCAGGAGGCAACAACAAAAATGAAGAGAAAATGATGATGGAATCTCAAGATGTCTGAGTTTCGGGATTGGTAGGAGGAAGTGGTTTGGTAACAGCAGCCAAGATATCAGCATAACCAACAACTCCAACTAAATGGTCCTCATTCTCGGCATCAGTAACCCAAACATGAGTTGCCCGATGTGACAACATCTGAGCCATGACAGCAGCCAGTGAGCTTGTTTCTTTACAAGTCAATGGCGCACTTCTGCCCCGATACATGCTCCTAGAAAAACATAAATTTGGGTTTGTTGGATTGCTGACGAACCCAATACTCCTGCTGCTAAATTTTTTTGGCCTAGTCGTACCACGACTATTGGCTGTATTTGTATTTGCTACCATAGAATTGGCTGCAAAATCAGGTAGGGATTTTAAGGTAATATTATCCTCAACCCCCATCACAAATTGTCCTGCCGAAAAATTAGCCAAGGCCCACGCTGCAGCCAAATGATCACACTTCCACAGTTTAGTGGCAGATATCTCGCCAATGATTTTATTGTAATCATCTGCAACAGGCTCGATGACTGCAACCGCAGGGGGGTCCCTTGGCAGTGTTTGAGTGGCATCAATCGCTTGACGTGATGCTTCTATTGAGCAGTAGTTTGGGTTAATGACTCCAAGGGAATAAATAGAGGAGAGAGGGATAGGGGCTAATGCACCAAGGCAACCAATAATGAAACGGATGATATCTTCTCTTGATAGACAACAAAATTTGTCACGAATGGTTGTAGACGAAGAAGGTGACGGTCGGTTGGCATTGGCAGCAGGATTTGAAGTATCAATGTTCTTTAGCCATTTGCCATTGTAAAGAATTGAAAATCTCTTGCTCATGCCTCGCCATACAACAATTTTAGGAACTAGGAGTCGCTTCACACCTTGCTTCATCATCTCCAGAGCATCTATCAATCTGCAACAACAATGGATCAGCAATATACCAGTGTAAAGAATAGTTCCTAAGAATTTTCATCGCCCTCTCACTTTCCAGGGGAAAACGCATTGTATAGTTCAACTTCCTCTCACCTTCCAGGGGAAAAAAGATACAAATCCTTGCAATCTCTTTAGTATTTTCTTTCATTTTGTACCTTGTATATGAAACAAAAATGAATATAGCTAACTTGTTTGATCTACTAGTCATATTAGTCGAGTCTTATAGGTAGTCTCATATGGAACCAAAATGCATTTTTTGAACCAAATGTATGTTTAATCCACGATTTCATGAGCCAAGCGAAAATGGATAGCACACAGTAAAGTCAAGAGCCAAGACTAGGATCCCCAATCGTCCTTAGATTGTAGATATGTAACTGACAACAAAACATACAACAGAAAAACATGATTTCGCAAATTCTATGCAAAGATGTTCAAATGCTTTCACAGGAATAACCACCACCACCACTCTCC